GCTTTATGTTGTTTGTCCTTCACGCAACATCATTTGCATTACACAGTTCGCCTTTTCATGATTTGAGCGAGGAGTTGGTTTTTCGGCGGGACAAGAGAATTAACAATGAACATAACTTTATTATACTCTATCCTTTTCTAATATATGTACTAGTTGGTTAGATTTAATTTTAAGACATTAATTTATTTTGTCTCCTGTAGTTGTCATGTTTGCCCACATTAATTTACTTAATTTATACTCTCTCTCTCTGGTTTTATTTATAAGCTTTAAATTTGAATAGAGTTGTGGTTCATTTTATAAGTTTTAATTTGAAATTTGTCTAAATATTCAATGTATATCTTTAATTTTGTCTTTAATTATTTATTCTCTCTTTGTCATACTATCTTATCATATTTTCTTATACTCTCCTTTTTTCTTTTTTTTCTCACTTATTATAAAGATATATTTGAAAACAAATTATATTTCTAACTTATTTATTACTTTTGACTAATTATTCGTTATTCCTAAATTAATTATTTGAAGCTTATAATAAAAATTTGAGGAAATATAAGCTTATGTATAATTTATGTTATAGAGGGATACTTTAGAATATCATGTTATTATTATAATTAACTAATTTATTGGTTTTTTTCATTTATCCAAATTAATTTAAGTATCTTTTATATTAAGAATAGACAGGGTATTATATTAAGGGAGAAATCTTACATTCAATTGTTTATATACAAAGCGTCCCAGTTTTCCAGTGAACATGTGCCATCTGTATTTTTAAAACACATCATTAACAGCCCGCCTCGCTTTGATTTCTCTCCCTTGCATCCTCCCCATCTCTGCTCACAATCTCACCGCACATGCCCACTCCCCAGTCCCTTTTTTCAGTCTTAATTATAAATTTTACTTATAATCCATAAATCTCGTTTTTATAATTAAGACGAGATGTAATAATTCCCAACTACATCACCTGTACTCCACCCCTTTCCCTCACTCGTGTCATTTTTTTCTTATTTCAATTGAGTAAATTACATATGTTTGTTTTTTACAATGAATTAAGAATGTGGAACTCTCTGAGTGTACATCGTACATTTTGTTAAAAACTACTTCTCGGTCTTAAATGTAAGACCCTTATACTAGTGTATATAAGGGTCTTACATTTAGGATCAGACGAGTAATTAAAAAGTGGGGAGAAATCAACACAACCTCTGCTTTCTTTACGGTTTCTGCGCTTCAAACACAAGGTTTGGGTGAGTGTAAAAATATTTTTAAAAATATTTTTTATAAATCGAGATAAATTTTTTACATATTTATTTCATATGCTGTAAAAACATTTTAAAAGCTACAATTTTGTTTCTATCTAAAAACTTTTTAATTTCTTAGAAGCTGGCTTCTCTAGCCTTCCTCCGACGGCTCGAAGGAACAAATTAGAGACGTGTTCTCTTACTCGAGATCAAAGCAAGCCAAGGGAGAAGAAGATCGAGGAGATATAAAATCAGCATCTCGATCATATCGGAGCTTTCCAAGCACCTTCCTGTCATTTTAACCATAGCATGAGGAAGAGGGAAAATTAGGAATATTCTCAGGTTCGGTGTTTAAGTTGTCTCAACCGCAAAGCAGCTTGCCGCTACCGAAGTTTTCTCTGAGACCGAAACTCTGTTGTAATGGGGTGGGGTCGCTGGCATTGACATCGGCGAAAACAATGATCTACGATGACTTCACGACACCACTGAAGATGCTTCATGATTTTGTGGTGAACTGTTTGGCTGGTGCGCGTCCTTTAATTTGCAGTCATGAACAGAGATACAGAGGGGGAGAGAGACTCGGAGACTGTGGGGTGAATTAACGCCATAATGATGATGTATTGAAAAAAAAAAATACAAATGGCACGTATTTACTGGAAAACTCGGTGTTCAGTAATAAGTAAGTGGATGCAAGTTTGGTCCTATATTAAAAACACTTTAACTTTTAGATATTGCTTAGTTCATTATCTAATGGATCCCAAAAATTCACTATTCCTACATAATTCCTCCCCCACTTGGAGGGATACCTGTACTGTCAGGAAGAAGTTCAAGGAAGGCTTGGCATCAAAGTTGGGAATAGTAAATCTTTTTTGGTTTACTAATTGGTCTGACATGAACACTCCACTCATAGACCTCATTCCAGGAAAAGAGGGGAGATTGATATGGATGAGAGGGGCAGACTATGTGGAGCCTGGAAGAGAGTGGGACAGATGGAAATTGGAAACAGTGGTTTGATGGGAACACTATTGCTCGATGACTAGTGCACAACCCCACCCGTGAGGAGAGAGGAGAGGATAAAATCTATTGGAGACTGTCAACTGATGGTCAATTTACAATAGCAGCAGGAATAGCATGTGGAAACAAATCTGGAAATGGCAAGTACCTGAGAAGATTAAGTCGCTCATGTGGCTTTTTGCACATGGAAGAGCACATATTGTGAACCTCAGAAGGAGCAGAGGACTTCAAGTGACAAAACAATTGTCCGTTCGGATGTGATCAAGAGGAGAACTCTATGCATATGTTGAGGGAATGCCTGAATGCCAAGGAGAAATGGAAAGCAATCATTAAGCCCTCCTATTGGAATCCCTTTTTCTCCTTACAAGGTAGCGAATGGATCAAGTGGAATCTCACCCATGAAGCAGGACTTCACTTCACGAAAAAAATCCATCGGTCAACCTTGTTTGTTCATGTGCTAGGACATATGGGTCAATAGGTGCAACAAACTCTTTGGTACCAATGAAGATGGTTTTAACCAGAATGCACATAGCACTTTTTTGAGAGCTTGTATAGACTAGGAGTTGCTTCATAACAACAAGTTTTACAATCTACACCCATACCATAAAGTACGACAAGCTTCTACGGATGATAACATTGTTAAGCTGGAGGTAGGTGGCTTGGTTCTCCAAGATGGACAAAGTGGATGCGGAGGGGTCATAAAGAAGGCATCTAATGATTGGATTGGTGGATTCTGCTGCAAACTCACAAATGTTCCTCCTACTATCGTAGAGTTGATCAATATCATTCATGGCCTAACCACGTGTTGGAATAGAGGTTTTAGGAAAATTAACATTGTTAGTGATTGTATAAAAGCCATTGCTATGCTAAATTGGGGTTGTACAAGTGACCACCCTTTTTGTGATATTGTTAATGATGCTAGGATCCTAATTCATAGGAATTGGGTAGTTCAGATCCATCATGTCCACAGGGAAGGAAACTGTACTGCGGATTTCCTAGCTAAATTGTCTCGTACTACAGCTAATAGCTTTTGTATCCTTGATCAACCTCCACCTCTGTGTCCAGAGGCAGATAGTGATGAAGGGCTCTAGTTGTAATCTTTTGCTTTAAGTAATGATATCCAAATTTCCATTCAAAAAATTCAATACTCCCCATAGGTTGCAACAGCTCAAGTCCAATGGAAAATTTGTTCACAACAAATGGTTTCCAAATAATGAAAATTCTTCTATGATCCAATGTTTTTTTAAAATTAAATTTCAACATTACTTCTATGATCTTTTATCCTAACATATTTTTATTTTAACAAATAAGTATGAGCTAAACATATTTGTCATAGATTGTATGAAATTTTAGGCAAGTTTCACTATTTATCAAGGTATAAAAAATCAGACTAGTTATCGAACTAGTTGACGCAGTGAGTCAAAGATCAATGAGTTAAACTAGAGTCAACCAAGAGATCAAACCAATAAAAAATTAAAAAAAACTTAAATTTTCATTGTACCATCCAAAGACTAAATATCAATTCAGTACCTTGATTACTAACAAAATAGTTGTATGCTTACAATTTCTTTCCAACCTTATTTACAATTACTTTGACAAATTAAAATCATAATATCATATATACTACCAAAGTCACTAAATATTTATCCTAACAAAAATCGAAATAGATATGTGATAACAAATATTCCTCCCTAAAATCCTTCAATTACTAAGTAAAAATTATCAACAACTTACAAAGGAAAAAGGAAAAAAATTTCATTAAAATAGGTTTAAAAAAAAAGCAACTGGGCCCAGTTAATCGTAGTCAATTTAGCTCTGGTACCGGTTTTCAAGTTGAACCAGCTAGTCCAATCCGGGTTCAATACCATGCTATTTGTAACTTATAATTAATATTGATTTTCTATATATTTTATATTTATATTAATGGTTTTCCTACAATAAACTCACTAAAAGTTACATTGATTTCCCCCGCACCTTTGCTATTTCTAAAAACAATTGAAACTATTGCTTGTGACAGAGAATGAAATTAACTAAAATCCTTTGCCATTTATAAGGTAATTAGTATAGAAGGTTATTTTGAAGTTAACTTCCACCAAACTAACAATAACTACTTACTATTTACGTCATGCAATATAGCACATACAAATGGAGTCTTTTTCCTTTTTCCTGTCAGTTTTTTTCCCCTGACCAAAAAAAACGCTTGATGCTAAATATGGGACCTTGCTCTATTTCATAAATATGAAAAATACTTTACATATTTTTACCTTTCTTTAATGAGTTTATTAATTACCTTGTGATTGACTACAAGTTGATGACAAAAGTAAAGCTAACACTACTTGCACAATTTCATCCATAAACATTACAAATCATGCTTTTAAAGGAGAAAAAAATTCAAAAAACGCAGGAATGTGTCATCATGAACCTTTTCAAGAGTTCCCTTGTTTCAAGGTCAAACTCAGATTATACTTAAAAGCTCACCTTCTTTAATTACTCAGGCATCCCGTTTGATCTGTTTAACAACACAGATCTCAAATAAGATGTGTTGTTCACAGCCAGTGAACAATACATCATCCTATATATACACTATAATAGCAGCTACTATATAATGGAGCCACAAGAACATGATGGCCAAATGACTTATCATTAGCTACAAACCCTGAAAATGAGCTTTTTAGTCTCTTTTCCTTTCTTTTTTCTTGATCAAGGAATAATGACTGCAGAAACATTCTTGCAGGGCTATAATTCCTCCTTGCCAAGTAAGCAATGCTATGATCATATATTTGATTTCTTCAAAAGGTTTAAATATAAAGGACAGCCAGGGAATCATTCCAATATGACTTACATGAGAAAGAATGTAACTAAAATGAATACACATGGATTAGATTAACAATCATTAACAATGCAATTAATGTATGAATTCTCTAAGCTATCCTCCTCAAATGCAATTTTCTTCAGCCTCTCTAACATGTTTGTCCTTGCCATTATTCTTCTTTCCCTCTAAATGGTAGCATGCTGCACCACAAGATTCTGATCGATCAATCATTTCTCCTCTTGTGACGACCATCAAACTGGTTAGTTTTCCCTGTTTCTTTTTTTCCTTTTTTTCTTTTTTCATTTTTAATTTGAATGAAACTGATGAAGGAGCATCATTCTCCTGCAGGAAGTAAAAGGACCTACAAGAAATTGGCGTCCGGTGTCCAACTGTATATCCTTTCCGTACGAATCACTAAACCTGCAGTGAAGCCAGATATAAGAATCTTATACAAACTTGCTATATATGATCATTGGGTTGATAGCTTTTTGCACTTCCACAGGACATCTATTAGACCATGTTCATACAATCAATAGAACGAACACACACATTCACATTCACAAGCAATGTTTTTGGGCTTTGCAACTTCCTGTTTTTATTAAAGGGTCCTAACAAAATAATTCAGTCATATTATTAATAATGGAAAAGGCCAAATCATCCAAAATTATAGTTTCAAAGTAGTTAATATTCAGTTTTCTATAATTATTTTATACCACTGCTCTAGCTAGTTACACCAATCAACCACCACAAGCTAGCCTTTCTAATTCATTAACAGAGCTAGAATGTGAAAATTGTTCACATGAAAATTATTCCAAGAAAAGATTACAAACAGTTGACCACTAATAAATATTCCTTTTGTCAAAAAAAAAAAAAGCATAAAATAAGGCGTTAAATACCAGTAAAAGCTTGTCATCACGAAATTCAGGTGTAATTATGATAATACGACCTTTTCATGGATCTTAAGAAGTTCCAGGAGTGTACCTGACTCAATGGCTGAAGTGAAACAGAATTATGTAGTTCCTCTGCATACTCGGTTGCTGCTTTGATTTCAGCATGAGTCATGGCATTATTATTCTTGTGGGGACACATTGGTGCAGTCCTATCACGACAAACATGACACCGAAATCCAATGAGTTGTCTGACATTCTCCAGAGTGAGTCCAAAAGCATCCCCATGAAACCACTCTGCATATTAACGCATCAAGTTAGATCACACTACAATACATATTTAATACAAAAATCCACCATTTTGACCCCAAAAAAATACAGAAAAAAGCACCATAAAGCAGCAGCTAATACCTTATAAAACATAGTGAATTGAAATGGTATCCCAACCATTAAGAAGCAGGATATCATTTGATTATAATATTTTCTTTCCATCCTATGCCCTTACTAAAAAGTAAAGAACAGTGGCAAAGAAGTTACCTCCACAGATTTCACAAGCAATATAATTCAAAGTGCACGCATCTCCACAACAAAGATGACATTTTGGTTGATCAAAGGTGCTAGAAAGACCTTCTGAGGTACCAAGATGCTTTTCTCCTTAAACAGCATTACTCGTTCATCATTTGGCTTTGTGGACAACCTAAGACCATTGAGCCAGTAACTATTACAGATATGAGTTCGTTTCTTACGCTCAAAAGTTACTGCTGTCTTAGAACGAGAAGTAGTTTCCTTGGGCTTCCTAGATGTTTCCTTGGGCTTCCTAGATGTCACCTTCTTGGATTTACTTTCTTTCCTTTTTACGTCCCACATTCCTTTTCTTTTGCACATACAAGCATTTGGCCTTCCTAGCGTCTGAACGACGAAGAGGTATACTTGACGGGACCTTCTTATTGGTTTGAGATTTTCCTTGCCGCCTCTTACTCAATGGCTTTTGCTGCATTTTGCTTAACTGGTCTGCCCACTGAAGGAACCTTTCGACCCTTTTGTGACTGAATATTCCCTAGTTTTGGGTCAAGTTTTCTTCTTTTAGAATTAGAATTTACATGCATCCCATCCAGGCATCTGTGACACGAATATCTGCACTCAGCAGTGCTACCAGATTTCTGACATGCCTCTTATGGAAGAATCCTGTCATCAGATATTGGAGTACAAATAAGTTCGCATACACAACACTAAGAAAAGGGAAAGAAGCAGCATAAGAAGCATAGTAGAAAGTTTCAAATATTGAATCATACGAAAATTCATACATATTTTCCATGTCTCGCCCTGAGAAAAGGTAGGAACAGGTATCATTATCAGTTCTTTTGTGTGTGTGTGCGCGCTCGTGTGTGTAGACATACATCCGGCTGGCAAAAGCAAGGTGCCTCCCAAGTGAAGCAAGAATTGTATACAATAAAAAAACTTCTAATGCTTCAGTTATATAATTCAAATTACAGGACACTCAATTACACAAGTCAAAAAAGGGTTTACATCCAAAATAAATTCAAAATCAAACATAAGAAACAAAGCATTAGGTATCAGAGAGATTCCACATATCCTTATATTCAATTTAACTGACTTTTCATCTATCTGATTACATTTTGCCCAAAACGGCTCATCCAAATCATATATGGTGCCACTACGTTTCAACAAAAGTTTCCATAAGCAGTTTATGCAACAAGAGTCTCCAAAAGTAAACAAATCGATCTAGGGCTTCCCTTATATGCACACTTTCCCTTTTTACTGATTTAAAGAAGCCAAGGAACAAGAAGCT